AGATGGGTGACTGGCGGTACAGACAACTGGAGTAGCTATCGGACCAAGAGTAGTCGTCAACGTCGATGACAAAGTCGATGGCTGTATAGATGATGATATAGTCTCTCCCGCAGCTAAAAGAAACCTTCGGGTCAAAGCAGGGGTGAATCCTGCGTCGGCAGGTAGCGGATAACGTTGTGAAGTGTCTTGGGCTCCGTCAAACGCTCTCAGCATTCTGGTACGAGCCAAGCTGTCGAACGGTTCGGTGGTGAGACGTGGAATCGAGAGGCTGGAATTAGGCGAGTCGAAGAGTGAAGCGAGGGGTGGTGGCCTTGGGCGTCGTGATAATAGAGTTCATTAAGTTGACGTCAAGATGCTATACGTTGGGTGTACAAGATGCAATGGCCGTGAACATGATACCGCCAAACTCCAAAAAGAACAGTAACAAATGGATCGTGAACAAGTTGGGGCATTGATGAGATAAAGGGGAAGCTCGCATAAATGAGCAATTGAAGTGAGGGGTTGCATGTGAGCTGTGACGCCGTGCTCGACTGCTTGCGTGATGGATATCGCAGCAAAAGTAACGGAGACATGCAGGGATCCCCGCAACTAAAGCCCGCTGCCCTAGATTTCGAACTGCTTGAAGCCCTCGACCAAGCCATCGCTAATCTTGGAGGGAATTGCCCACACAGGCAGATAGTGCTGCACCTCGTCGAAAGCAGGGATGTCGCCTGTGTTGGCGTCCGACCACATGCACACGACCCTTCCAGAAAGTTTCGATTGTTCTTTGGCGTTCCAAGTCACGCTAACGTTCCAGGGCTGCCCAAATTCGCGATGCCACAGTCGCACTTCCCGGGCGCCGTCCCCACCGACGGGTTTGAAGCGAGGATCTGAAACGGCGCCGTCGACGCTCAACGCTGTGATGGGCGAGTCGAAAAGCACGCGACATGCTCGGGTGTTATGCCCAACAACGCGTATCGTCGCCTTGTTTGAGTGATTGCCCTTATGGATCGAGTAATTGAGCCAGCTGGCAATGTACGTGTTGTTGTCAAATGGCGCGACTTGCGCTGTCTTTGGGACGACTTTAGCGTCAAGACCCTGCCACTGGCACTGCTTTAGTTCCTTACGCGTCGCAACCTCGGGCGTCGTGCAATCAAGCTGCTGGCCTTGCGCACTGGGTAACTCGCCAACAATGCGTTGCACATAGCCGTCCAAGCCGGTCAGGGACACGACGTTATGACCAGTCTCGCAATTAACCCGCTGGACGAAGTACACCTTTAAGCGATGATCCCTGCTGAAAGGGAACGCAACAAGGTTGTAGATGACGGTTGCGACGCATATCAGGAATAAAAAGGTGGGGATGTGATATGTGAAGCGGTGAATAAACGGGCCGGTGGGTGCGAGCAACAACACAGTAAGCGCTGCGAAGGCGAGGTAAATAAACAGAGGCGAGTTACCATCGGATGGCGTCTGGTATAGGGCCGACGTGAGGAGTAGAGCGACCTGTCCGACAAGGATGATCACGATTGGCGCTAAGAGTAGCAGTTGAACGACCCAGATCCAGCTCGGTAATTTGCCGCTCCACTCTTGTTCTCCAGGATACACGTTGCCGAGATCTATTCGCCGGGGCCCTTGAGCATGATCCTCGCCGCTCTCGCTGATGGAGTCTCGCCTGTTGCCGCCGTATCTTGCGAATCCACGTCGATCGCCGCGTAAAAGTGAGGTGGTCTCGGTGGCGTCATCGTCTCCCACGGGGCGATCATCGGACCGTGCAGCGGTGGTGCTGCCTGTAAGGGGCCTGCTTGCGGACTCTGAGTTGCGCCGGGATTCGTCCTCTTGCTCGAAATGACGGGCATACGCAGATTTGGTTGGAGCGAGGAAGAGTTCGAGGTAGGAGAGGAGGATTGCCGCGAACACAGCTGCGAAGTAGAACATCGCAGAATAACCAGCGGCAACCTGATAGTCGTTCACGAAGACCGTGATGATTGTCAGAAGCACGAAGGAGCCGATGAAAAGCCAGATCAAAGCGTACATGCGCTGGAGTGCGGATGGTCGCATAGCATCGGCCCCTCGCGCAAGGAACCAAGCGATGAATACCCAGGCTGAGAGCATCATGCTGTTGATATTGTTAGTTGTGAACAGAGTAGCAGCATGAGCGACTCACCTCCAGACGGCGAATGGGCTGCTGTAAACAATGAAGGGATTGAACCGGACTATGAGATAAGCCAATGCGACCACAACAGCACTTGCTGTGACAAAGATGATGGGGAAGCGGAAGAAGCCGCGCCAGCCGTATAAGAGTACCGGATTGTCATCGTCAGACGAATAAATGTAGGCTTTGCGCGCCAATAGATAGTTCTTGTCAGCCTTGGAGAGCCCAAACGTCAGTCCAATCAACGTAAGAGGTGCCACAACCAGCAAAGTGACGCACAAAGCGAAAAGGGTATGTAGCTTAAAAACGACGAACACCTTGCCGAAGAGGTCAAACCACACGCCGTCGCTGCCAGTTCCGGCATTGACTCTACCGTTATCGAGGCTTTCTGAGCCACTGAATTCGTCACTGGTGATGGAAGCCAATCCAGATGTTGAGGCCAGAGCTGCTGAAAGCATGTGCCAGAGCGAGTTCATCGAAGTTTCACGTGTGGAGTCTTCCACTGTGTGGTATCTGGCCCTGGGCTCCATGAAGGCAATGTCCAGGCCGCGTAGCCCAAGTTCGCCGTGGAAGACTTTGTAATCAGTTTCGCTTCGAATAAAACCCTTCTTAAAGCCATCTCCGCTTACGACTGTTCCGAAAGGATATTTAGACTTTTTGTAGTAGCGGGTGACTTCGGTATCGGTGCTCCTGAACAAGGTAGCTCTGCCGCCAGCTCCAGCGCCCTCGAGGTTTACGAACGTATGGGGAACCTGAGAAATCGGGTTGCGCATGAAAGCCTTGGCGCCGTTGAGATAATCCTCTTCGCCGTTGTTGAGCAACAATACCACGGTTCTTTTCGGCCAGTTTTTGGATTCTGTGAAGTAGGATAGAAGTTGCAGTATCGTCACAACACCCACGCCATCGTCAGTTGCACCGTACCCACTGCTCACTGAGTCGTAATGGGCGTTCACAAGTACACCGCCGTTGTCCGGACTGCGCTCAGTCCCATTGAAGGGTTCGTCATCATCAGAACCGCGGATTGCAACAATGATATTAGTGCCTTCAAAGTAGATAGATGTGCTGCCAGATGAAAACGTGGCGTTGGCGGTCAGGTCATCGAAGAGCTCGACTTGGCCCTTTTCTAGGTCTTTTGAAGTAACGATGGCCTTGATACGCGCAAGCAGATATTTGCGTACATCGTCGTTCGCGTGGCTGTTGTACGGGTGGAACCGGCGAGTAATGTGCTGAAGGTCGCCCCAAGCTTCTGTGAGGTTGACGCCCGTCGGCGGATTGGATGGATAATTCGGTACCGTCAGGTGGGTAACGAGCAGGGCAGCAAAGAGGCCCACGTAGACGATGGTAGTAAAGAAGATGACTGGCCCAGGCGTGAAGGAGAACGGGTTGAGGCGGGCCATGACAGCTCTCGTGGCGCCACGTAGCTTTCAAAAGCTTTCGGTGGGAAGAGATGACGCAAGATGCAGTAGAGTCGGTGGTTGTAGCTATGCTTGGTGAGGGCGGGCGGGGCGTCCTCGTGCATTGCATGTGATGTGCATATGTCATGGGCCATAGCTCCCAAGCTTAGCCGCATGCGTGTCTAGTCCCGTCAAGAACCCCAAGCTTTCTGTCATCACTCACAATCACGACGGAGCCGAATTGCATCAGCATCGCGTCCATACGCGCTCAGTGTACATTGGTACCTGCCTTCGCGACCAGTTGTGGTCGTTCTAATCATGGGCCTCGAAGCGCGATTGCCACCAATCCAGCCGGATGTGGACGCGTCCGACAATGAGGCATCAAACCCAGTAGAAGATGTCGCGGAACTGCCAGTACTCACGACTATACCGACAGCCTATTCGGGATGCTGTTTAGCTCTCAGCGAAACCCTCATTGCCTACCTCGCCTCGCTCCTTCCTCAGCCTCCCGCGCTTGCTCTATCTGTCGGAAGCGGCTTCGGCCTCCTCGAAAGCTATCTCATCACCAAACCCTACGCGTACCATGTCATTGGTGTTGAAGTAGAGCCGAGCTCGAACAGATACTTGCCCTCTTCGAACCATTGCGTCGTTCACGGTACGCGTTTTCTTGAGCCGCTCGCAGCGGAGGCTACGACGTGGCTTTTCGTATACCCGCGACGCGTCGGGCTAGTACGCGAATACCTTGCACAGTATGGCCAGGACAGCGTGGACAGAGTGATATGGGCAGGCCCCAAATCGGATTGGGATGACTACAAGGCATGCTTTGCCAGATGGACTGTGGAAGAGCAGAGCGCCGAGCAGATCGGTGGAAGGGCATGGGAACTGATCGCCGTCGCACACAGGCCCACGTCATGAGGCAATATGTCTGTGATCGCGGACGTATCCCTTCTCGACGCTGGCTTCACGCGTTTCCCCTGATCTCATCGTCTCCGACCATGCGCAGGCTTCACGGCTAGTGAGCGCATGATAATTCCTGCCAGTGACGAAGGCCTTATTCTGGCTCGATACCCTGACATCGATGACTGGATCGCCATTTGGCGCGCCGAGCCACATCTGAGTGAAAATTACGCTCATGTTGCAATGCTGCATTGGTCTCTTGAAGTGCACGCTCTTGGTTTCATTGTCTTGTCTCTCACAACAACGCCGAAGTTTTCTCTTTCGGCGGACAAAGGCAACGTGAACTTTACATTGATGCTAGGGTGGCGGCCTTTCACTCGAAATTCTGTTTGTCTTGTCCGACCTGGAGAGGACGCTTTGTCTCATCAGCTACATGTCTGCCGTCTTCTCAGGTTTGAGACACTCCATACATCGCCCATTTCAACAAGGCACGCCCTCATGATATTGCACCATATGTGTTCACATCCTCGAGATTACGATACGAACATCTTCTAGACGCACCAGCAAAATCGCCTACCATGGACGCCCTTCCTGGCGCTGTAATACAAGCCTTTGCGCACCTGTGGGGCCAGCATCCTGAAGTAGCAGCTGGTATCTACGCTGCAGGTGCTGTCGTTGCTGCTGTGCCGCATTACATACCAAACTTTGAGCAGGCCAAGGTTTGGTATCAGAAACCCATACCTTCTACGATTCGCGTTGCAAAACCCGCCCATACCACCGAAGACGCAGCCGACATCGTGGAATCGATAGTTACCAAAGCCCGCGGTCCTACCATTATCACCGTCACAAATTCTGTCTCACCCGCTTGCAACACAGCCCTCACTGTCGTACAGCAAGCCAAGGTTGAAGTGTTGGACACTTCCTCGTCTTCCGAATCAATCCAGGACACCTCTGAATCTGCCACAGAAAGCTCTGCTCGTTCGACAGCGAGCAGCTCCTCGCAGATCTCCTGGAAACCTAGTACTCCGAGAGATACATTTCCGGAGGTATCTAGCAAGAGTCCAGAGCGTTCACTAGCAAAGACTACGAGTACTTCTACTGAGAAGAGCAGTACTGTTCATGAGGTACCGTCACTATTGGGCACAAATTCTTCCAATGTTACAAACACAGGCTTTAAAGCCCGGATGAGTAGGCTTCTACACGGCTCGCAATCCTCCGCGGCATCGAAAGAATCGACCATCAGCGATACACCCAGAGACGTCACATCGACCAGGTCCCCCACCGTTGGCAAGGTGCCTTCTTGGACCACGTCTCCAGTTGTGGTTGAACAATTACCGGTTACCTCCCAGTCGTTCAATGAGATCATAGACTATTCGTTTGAAACCATTACCATTCCGCAGAGAACGAAGACAGTTTCCAGTGCTCCCCTAACTAGCACTGCGAGCATTGACTCTGGCCTCAAAGAACATAAGTCAGCCTTTACACATTATAGGCAACATGCGGCTAGTAAAGGCACCCGGAGCAGTAGCTCGAAGATGATGGAACATAAGCCAGCCTTTACACATTACAGAGAAAATGCGGCTAGGAAATCACTCCAAGATTCGTCGTCATCTAAGACACTTCTCAGTGCACCTGTGTCCAGCACCAAGGACAGCACCGTTACGCCGAGAGAACACAAGCCAGCCTTTACACCTTATAGACAAAAGCCGGCTAGCAAACCACTTCGAGATTCGCCGTCATTCGCCAAATCCCAACTTTTACGCTGGAATGACTTTCGACGAGCGATTGATGAGCAGTACATTACACAACAAGCAGATCAAAAGCCGACCAAGCCATCTTACTACAGTAGCCCTGTCACCATGGCGGATATCATGGTGGGATACGTGCCATCCATTCTCTTCGCTGTATGCGACCATCTGTACAAGGATGACCCGGACATTCAGGAAATGGTGGCATTTATGGTGCGCAATGCGTATATGTTTGTCGTTGTATATCTCGCCTACGCGGAATTCCGCTTGCCAACATTGCCATACTCCAAACCTGTAGCATACGCACGCAGCATCGGATCCGTATCCTACAACGTGTGGCAGAAAGCAGTAGCCAACTTCCTGGGAAAGCAGCAAGCCGATCACTTCATCATAGACCGGGCGTTGTACGCCATCCTCGTCGGTATCGCGATTTATTTCCTCCTTTTCGCCGGACGAAGGACCCGCGAAGTTGTTCACCACGAAGAAGATGAAAGCGATTTAAGCGAGGATGAAGACATGTCTGAGACCCAGGATCTTTCCGCCAGTGCGCCTGCTGTCATCCCGCACCGGAAAGAGACATTAATTCGTTGTTGCATCGCCTTCACTGTTATGATAACTGTCATCTGGCTCAGTGTCTACGTCCAGGACTTGGCTGTTATCTTGGCCAGTGTGCCAGCGGTACACGTTCTTTCCATCTATGATGAAGAGGCGCGCAACACCATCTTCACCATATTGGACCTGGTGGTTTGCGGCTCATACCGATCCATCATCGCCGCGCGAACCTGGATACGATACTACGCTGCGATTGCAGTAGTAGTATACGTCCTCATCCATATATACCAGCCATCCCTGTGCGCTGATAGACTTTTCAGAGGCGGCGTTGCCCCACCCTTCAGTCATTTTGCTGTCGTGCTCAAGCTTGTGGGCCTCTCCTATATCGACTCCCTCGTGCACGGCATCATCGAAGTCGCTCAAATCTCCATGGCGAAACTCCGGGTTGTAAAAGCTTGGGCTCGGTACAAGTTCATGCTCATCGTCAGAGGTCGCGCTGTCTTCCCATGGCACCCAAAGACCGTCGGCGGGTTGTTTCACTGGGTGCTCGCGATAATCACACTCGGCCCACGGACAGTATTTGGGTTGCTACCAGTATGGGCTGGCCCAGTCGTGATGATGTTCGCGCTCTGGGCATTGACGTATGCATTCATACCATTGTTCCAGTCTCTTTTCACGGCGATCTGGCACACCATACAGCCTTGGACTCAAAGGACGTCGGATGCAGCTGCCCATACAGTGAAGGAGTTCACTACTAGCACTGCGTCTATTCCAGCCCCAGTTAAGGGGTCGACTTCATGGACTGCTGTAACCACGACAGCTTTACGGAATTGGGTCACGCCTCCTCGCAAACTCACTCCAACTTCGCGGGAACGCGCAACGAGCTCTTATGTGTACACTGCTACCTCGACGGAGAGGGCTACGAGCTCTCGTATACACACCACCCTCTCGCCGGCATGGGCTACCAAGTCCATTAGGAATGCTACTTCCAGTTTCATTACAAACACCCAGAAAACGACTTCTTCAGCATTCGAAAGGATCTCGAAGAACCTGAGCTTGTTGTACAGGGCACAAATCAAGCCGATTGTATCTTCCGTGGGTACACGCTGCCTCAGCAACTGGTGCCAAGGCCTAGCTTACCACTGGGTATGGCGCGCGACGGCCATCATCGCATTCACCATTGTATGCACCGTAGGCTGGATCATAGCCGCTCAAGCATATCCCGCACATAAGGTCCGGTCGTCGTTTACATTCGCAGCTAGTTTCATGATGATGTACGTCCTGGGCACAAACGGAGTCCTTGCTTGCACTCAGGACTATGGCATCATCTTTGCAACTGTTCTTGTCATACTCCTACTTCTAGCCTACTGGCGGCCGGATTCGATCGTGGCTCGAGATTTTCCCAATGAACCGCTCCCTGACCTGCCGGATGAAGTTGTGGCTCCTGACTCTGCGCCACCAAGCCCTCCAGCAGCACAAATACCCGCCCCTAACAATGACGTCGGAGAATCAGAGCTAAGAAACCCCTTGATGGGAGAACCTGATACCCCCATTCAGCGTCTAGACGCACAGCCGGAGCAAGCGCCTCAGCCACCCAGCGACAGTCAAGCAGTTGATCTATTGGATGAGGACTTATCAGGGCTGCCAGATGAAGTAGACGCGTTGCCCACTCAACAACAGGCTTCGCCTGTACAGACTCCCGTGGGAACGCCATCACGGGAGCAATCGTTTGAGACTCCGGATCAGGCTCAGGCTCATACTGAGGCGCACACCGCAGATGCATGGACACAGACAACCGCATCTCTTCCTTGGCCACAGCGCTGGATGACTTGGCTCTTCGACAGTGAAGCGGCGCGCACGGCAAGAGAGAAGGCTATCGAGGCCGCCAGAGCTGCTGCTGAGCAGGAGCACAAGGATTTCCTAGAGCAATCTGGCCTGGCGGGCGGTGTAGAGCACGAGGAGACCCAACGGTCAAACGACACCAGCGAAAGTCCAGCTGCTGATGAAGCGATGGCATCTCGACCTGCAGAGACTGAGCAACAGCACCGGGCTACTGTTGAAGCTGAGGAACCTGAGGAAGTAATCCCAGCTGTCCCGTCAAAAACTGCGACTGAGGCTATTTCAGCCCCTACGGCTCAGGTACCAACGATACCGGTGGTTGCTGATACATCGGCATCTGTGCGTACCCTCACGCCAGCTGCCGAGTTCAAACGTACTCCTCTGTTCGAGCCTACTCCCCCAACAACGATCACTCCCACGATCATAGCGTCTCCCCCACCAGTGATTCCTGCTGAGCCTACTGCACCCTCCACTATTGCACCAGCCATCTCTTCCAATTCTCTGATTGTACCCACTCCCGTCACAACACCTACTGATGTACCCAAGTCTGCCACAGACACTACTGAGCCTCCGTCAATGCTCGATATCACGTTTGATCTTCCTACCATCGTAGTCGACGCACCAGAATCTGAGACGCAAGAAGGATACACGCCGATGACATTTGTTCCCATTGAGATGACGGAACTCGCTACACCCGCCAAGCACACGCCTCCCAAGGACCCTGCTTCGGAGCCCGTCAATGCACCAGATCACCAAGCTTCAGCCGCTGGTTCAGTGCAAGGTCAGGGAGAAGACGATGATCAAGACGCTGAGCAAGATGGTGTGCAGGAAAGTGACGAAGAGCAAGAGGAAGAGGAAGAGGAGGTCGAAGGCGAAGAAGAGTTCGATTTCGGCGGGAGTCCTACGATAGGCACATCAGCTCCGCTACAGCCAGCGAGTCCTATAGATGCCGAGATTGTTGCAGCACTTGAAAAGTACCGCGAGGAGGTGCGAAGAGAGGCTGAGCAGAAGAAGGCCTTGACTCCCATGGGGGTTGCTTCAGGTGGAGCACCCGCACCTGGCGACGGCGATGACAACGACAAGGGCAACGGTGATGGTAAAGATGACAATGATTCGGGCAATACGCCGATACCTGCCGCCCCAAAGCATGTCACTCCTGAACCCGACAAAGAACCTTCTTTGCCAACGGATATGCCAATTGGAGGCATGGAAAAGGACGCTTTAGCAGCTACGCCCACCACCAATGCCAACACAACTGTCCCCGACTTACTCTCGCAACCAACTCCTGGCACGGCGAATAATCGTCCTTGGGCCCCGTTCAGCTCGCTTCCATCCAGCAGGACGGAGCCGCCTATGTTCACAGAAGAGGAACTTAAGACGCAGTTCGCCCTTCCTGCCATCTACAATCGGCCTGCCGCTCGACCCACAGACCCAAAACACCCAGACTCCGCAGAACAGTGGCGTAACAGGCTGCTGGGTGGTCCTAGTATGTTGACCATTATGAGACGAGAGCGTGAAGCCGCGGCTCGAAGGGCTGGTGGCGATGGTGGAGATGCGCCGGCTGGCCCTGGTGGTCCTTCTGGTGGAGATGGCAGCGGTGGTAGTGGAGGTGGAGGCGGCAGTGACGACACACCCTCTCCTTTCGATCCATCGAGCGGTAGTGGAGGCGCAAACCCTCCATCGCCGTCGGGTTCAGCTGGCTCAGGACCTATGGAGGGCATCGACGAGGCTTCTTCGAGCGACTCGGATCATCACGGTGAGAGCGATCCCAATGACGGTCAGACTTTGGACAATCAAGCTGACACTAACGATCAGATGGATAATGGCAACGACGGTAATGAGGATGGTGGCGACAATGACGGCGATTCACCCGCACAGCCTGGAAGTTCCAATATCGCTGACATTCCTATGACTGCGCCCGCGGCCCTTGATAATACTATCACGGCCGATGACGATGGGGACGTTGATATGTCCGACCTATCCAATGTCGATGTGGACGATACCGATTTGGACGATATCAATATGGACAATATCAATATGGACAACATCAATCTGGATAACATCAACTTGGACGGCATCGATTTCGACAAGATCGCCAACTCTGGCTTCGATAATGAGCAAACGCCAACCACGACCACTGATGACATGAGGAGACAGCTGGTGCCTCTCGAGGGAATAGAACAACACAGCGGAATACCAACAAGTCTGTATCTGTCTCCTGAGGACGAGCAATACGGTGAAATGGCAGAACAAAACATATTCGCTGATATTGATGCGTATGAGGCGCAGAATGGGCCGATCAAGACTTCACCTCCCGTGTCTGAATCTCAACAGTACCCGACAAACGGGGAAGGTTTCGATCATCTTCTCGGAAGCGCCGGCGATGAATATTTTTCTCCGACCCAGCAGCCATCGGTCATTGTTCCAGGGCTTCCTAAGGAGGCGTCAGATGCGTTTGACCCATTCTCGAACGCGAATTGGAGTGCCGAATTTGGGAATGCTACGCAAGCTGAACAGGATGATGATGTGTTGGATGAAGAGATCGTTCGTGCCGCTGTTGCAAATGCGTTTGGAGAAGATCAGCAGCCGGCACGAGATGATCTAGCTCCCCCGCCACCGACCCACGGAGACGACCTTGACCTTGAAGACTACGAATTTGCTGAAGACCATGGGGAACTCATCGCCGGGCTTTCGAATGTCAATCTCGACAATGATCAGTCTGACAACACTGACAAGGCACAAGTCTCGCCAGATTCGGGAAATCAACGAGTATGGGACAGTGACTTCAACAAAGCTCCTGAGAACGCCGAGCATGAATACAAACACCCAGATGAGTTCACAAGTATCAGACCGAGAACGCGCTTAGTACAACTCAAGGAAGACCACAAGATCGTCGAGAACCCCGAACATGCGGAATACCGATCAGCCGGCATGAAGTCGCTAGACGAATTAACCGGGCGACAAGGTCAGGTCTTCCGGGAAGTTCCTATGGACACATACGAAATGCGAGGAGAAAGCCACGACGACTACAAGGATGCACAAGAGCTGATGGCATGGTTTGATCCAGATGCTGAAGGTGCCGAACCTCGAGGTGATGCTTCTCCGGCTGGTTCTGACGATGGTAGCGCGTTGTCGGGCGAAATCGATGACGATGAACTGGATGCGCTTGCCAAGGAAGTGGAAAAGGATCAGTTGGATGAAATGAACAAAGCGTCCAAGAGATCGGCTCGAGACGTTTCTGATGACTCGGATTCAGAAGCATCGGAGGAAACTCAAGATGGCCCGGCGACTCCCCAGAAGGAGAGTTCAGGTGCACGACCTAATACTCCGAAGAAGGGCCGCTTTAGAGGTCCAGTCTCATTTGATAATGAGGAGGAAGCCCGTTTTGAGAAGAATGACGTGGAGAAGATCAATGACCTTCCAATATGGAAGAAGCTGAAGGAAGCCAAAGACACATCGACAACCCCATCGCCGGCGCAACCATCTCCGGTGGCTAGTTCTGGTCTTCCGACTCGTCCGACTACACAGAGTACACTCAACGCGCCTTCGATGTCAAGCTCGAATCCTACTTCCCCATTTTCGTATGACAGGCCGCCACCGCCTTCACCTCTAGCAGGTGGTTTCGCACCGGGAGGTTACGCACGCTCGTATAACCCAGTCACTTTGCAAAAGAGGAACAGCACGTCTCCTTATGGAGGTATACCGACTCTCGGCAACTTTAGTACACCACGCGGTCAAAGCAGTAATGCGACACCGCCTCCCCGGAGTCCAAGCTACCCAGCCATGAAGCTCCCCGACGCTGCACTATCAAACGCAAGAAGCTTGCTCAAACCGGCATCCGCCCGCCATCGTGCACAGTCTACAGCAGGCACAGCGACTACAAACTCCCCGGTCCCCTCGCCCGCGTACATGCCCATGCAGCCTTCGCCAGGCATGAAATCCAATAATTTATCGACTACTCCACCAGCTTACGACCCGACACAGCCTGGGGCGGGATACACCCCGAAGACAGCGTCAAACTTTCGGGCCCAGTTGCTACCTCTTTCTGGATTGAGTGTACCACAGAAGCCATTGCCACAGCTTAGTCCGGTAACACATCCAGATAGGCCCGCAGCGCAAGATGAAGATGCGGTTGGAGACCAGACCTCGCAAACTCCTGGAGGCGATGACAACAACGACTACGATAGCGATGTGGACAGCATTTACGGTCACGACTAGGATAAACCTCAGCAATCCTATCAGCAATAGCGACGGGGCAATGCTGCGCAAACGAGTGAGCCGACTGCTGAAGCTCCTACTACAGCTGTGAACAACGAGCCTGTTATCGACGACGATGATGCCGATATGGGCGGGTGTAGCCCGCCTATGGACTAGGTGGGACTGCTGGTGGGGTCTCAGGGTCCAGACTAGAGAGGATGTATGGTACGTGCCTATCAAGACGCGCCAGCCAACACACGGCGATCCAGAGCCTGTGGAGTCTTCCCAAACGTTGTTCGATGATGTTGAGGATCAAAAAGTTGTGTTTCGGACGACAAAGGGGTGGATAGCGAGAGTCATCAGGGAAGAGAGGTGTGTGACCATGTTGTCATCAACTTGAGACCATTCAAACGTGTTATCTTACTTAGCTTATCAATTTTCTATTCGCATAGCTATTATCTGTCGAATCCGTGCGCTACTATAAGGCGACTGTGCTCGCGTCTTAGCTGCCTGTGCTGGTTATGTGTCGGCTGGTTGTAAATTCATGGCTCAGCCCCACGGTTCCACCATGCCATCCCTGTCATTCGTCGGAACTTCTCAACCGACCACGGCTTTGCGCATCACACACTGATACTCATATTCGTGCCGATGGCATGTACCGTTGTTCTGCTCCAAGACTTCACGTGGTGCGAGGGAAATTGCTGTTGAGGTGGAGATACCCGCCTCATCTACCATTCTTCACCACGACGCCCTCTACGATCGACTACATGTGACCGGGTCTTTGGTACTTGTGGTGATTCCTCTGCTGAAGGCCTTGGTAGATGGGATGTCATGTGTTGCAGAAATTGGGAATGGCCCACTGCTCGCTCTGCGTTATCGCAGTACGAGTGGATGACCTGGATGATAGTTCAAGGATTGTAATGCACACCAATGTGGACTAACTGGCAAAAGGATAAATAGCTATCATCGCAGATCTGTCTGCACCTGAAAAGAACACCCCAACATCCACACCACAAGTCACCAAGATGAAGTTCACCTTCGCCCTCATCGCTCTCTTCACCACCGCAACCCTCGCCGCCCCTCCCCTGTACGACGTCCCTACCTCAAGCGGCGCCATGCCCAGAGGCTCCCTAAAAGGTCTTCTACCACCCAGCACTTGCTTCTGGTGCGGTGTCAGATATCACGAATGCATGGACGTACGTACCTTCCCCTCTCCCCCATCAACTTTTCCACACACTTGTAGATCGCTAACCCAACCCCCAACAGAAATACGTGAATAGCTATAACTGGGAATTGGACAGGCCAACCGATATCCCTCAGTTCTACGAGAGTCAGGCGAAATGCGTAGAGTTGATGGAAAATCATTATGGTCCGTGTGTTCGGCGTCAGTGCAAGGTGACTTTCGATAAGTTCGGGGAGCCGCATTGGCATCATCATGCGTAAGGGCGTGGGATGGCTGATCGGAGAACGAGAGGCTATCTGGTATTCATACGCGAATTGTTCTGGATGTCTTAGGGGCACTGCGGATGTGTAACGATTGGGTTTGGTAGGATGCGCGATTGCCTCAAGAGAACATCTCTCCTGCGATTACATCTCGGTGATTAGAAGTATCCTTGTCATCATCCATCAATAATAAATCTCCATCAGACTGCAATCTACAATGGTACTCAATGCGGATCCACTTCGTTGTCACGAGAGCAGCGTCCCTGTGATACGAATAGGGTCCTCGAACGCGGAACTCTAGCACCAACGGTAATCAGCAAACGAGGTGGACAAAGACCAGCATTCATAACTGTTGAGACGAGACTCCACACCAATGATGTATGCTCCACGGCGAGTTCTTGTTGAGCACCAATGACGCTACCACTACGTGTGAGTGCCAATGCAGATACTCCAGCATGCTCGCCTAGAGACACAGCATATATAATGCGTGCATACTCACAAATCCAATTGTCGTCTTCCCTTCCTTCAACCCAACACCAACACTACCACCCGACCCATCTTCAAATCCTCCACAAGACCCATTTACCACATCTGCATCAACATGAAGATCACCACCATCATCATCGCAGCACTCAGCACCGCCGCTCTCGCCTCAGAAAGCCAATTCGAATTCTCGCACTCGTGCGACACCTGCCGTGAAATGTATCAAGGATGCATGGCCGTAAGTCCTCCAGTTCCAACACAAACTTACCCAGTCACTGACATAACTCACAGGATCGTTGCCCTTCGTTCATATTCAACGAGGAGTGCTCGTTCCAGTGCCAAACTTATGTGTGCAAATCAGGCACAATTGGCGATTGGTGTGCAAACTGGTGTGCCCAGTATGATTACTTGAACTGTCATGGATGGATTGAGAAACCTAAGCACCCAAAACCCACCTTCCTCGTTCCGCCCGGGGAATGATCATTCAACCGTTACGGGAAATTGAGACCAGGCGACGGGGTGGAGCGGTAACCGGAATGGGGCGATGCACTTTCGAAATGCTTTGCGCTGGCAGTCTCATGGGATATGGAAGTGCTAGACTGGTTGTGACGACGATGCGCTTTGATGGCTGGTCAAGCAGAAGATATGAGACTTTAGCTACGTTTCCCCGAGTAAATACTATTCCTGGCTATGGATATGTCTCAGTCTATCTCTCTCCATCGGCTTGTAGGGTAATGATACTGCTTTTCCCTAATCAAAAAGCTCTTGCTATCCATGCACGAAACCGCCACTATCCGAGAACTCAGAGATTCCATTACTGACAACGCCTTTGCCAATACCTATGGCCTATCTCAGGTGAGAGAGATTGGCTGGGCACAGACCTTTGACTCTCGGCTTTGCAGCAACTCCAGCAGCTGCGAAGTAGCTGCCGCTCCCTCACCGCGCGTTATCTAGGTATCTCTCACTCACCGCGGGTCGCCGCTCCCTCACCGCGAGTTACGCAGCTGCCCAGCTAGGTACCTAGAGCTGCGCTTCTCCCTGCTCTCCCCACAGGTATATAATCCCGCCCATCCTCCCTCTCTCTTCTCTCCTCCACCAACGATCAAACACTCAACATCCACCTCACCCCAAAACAAACTCCATCAACCACGACAACTCCATCAACATCAACCCACTTGCAAGTATGAAGCTTTCCCTCCTCATCATGGCAGCTGCCTCCGCCCTCGTCCTTGCCGGCGGCGGCAAGAAGGAAGAATCCGTTCTGTGCAAGAAGTGCTACATCTACAGCCTTGAACACTGCGAGAAAGTAAGTTGTCACAGCCCCGAGCCCATATTCTTTAGTGTTCAGCTCAGAAACTAACCTCAATAGGACGTCTGCAAGGACAAAGTCGACGGCGACCGCAAGCACCTAACCTTTGAATGGACCAAGTGCATGAATAAGTGTGACCACGACGACACCTGCAAGTACGTACCTGCAGGCGAGACGGTTGCTTGCGGCGATGAGTGCACCCCTGGTACTGCCTGCCCAACTACCTAGGTGCCGACGCCGTTTGAGATATCTATCTCGGGTATCACGGTAGTGGATGAACATCAGTGAGATATGCAAGGCAACGGGTAGCATGGAGGCTGGGATGAGAATTTGTCTTGGCTGAATGCCTGTTATCATTGCGAATATGGGAAACTGAACATGGACGGGACTTGGTGGCATGATACATTCTTGGTAACTTTACCTAAAGATGAATGTCAACTACACACTTGCACATACTGAATCTTTGCATGTGAATGTGAATGTACCTGAGCAAAGGTGACGCGTCTAGAACATCCTTTCCTCGCCTGACACTACCTTTCTGACATCTGTCCACTATGAGGACCTCAGCAGCGTTCGGACAAGCGCAATGAAGCCCTAGCTTTCTTCTCTTCATGTCTGTATCTCATCTATCTGCAGTCAGCGCTGCTAATCTTTTGTCCGTAAGCGCCCATAGCTACGTCACTGACAGTCGAAAGTGAAGCTATTATTGCCGTAGTCAGCTGACGAGACCCACATGCAACTCGAAGTCCAGACAAGATTGAGATTGGAGGCCTCGAGAGTAACAACATGAGGAACGGCTGAGTTGGAGTAATAGAGTACCCACGAGCTCGGGTGGGTTTCAATAACCCGAGTGAATGACGAAATGTACGAACAGACCCGACAGTGTTGGAATGCATCTTCTAATTGTAGCAAGATCGCCACCGATTCTTATATTGCTTTTAATGTCGTGTTTAACCGTTTACTAGGAGTCTAAACAGTGAGATTCTCAGTTGTTGTGTTCATCTATATGTCACGTCATTCTTGCATGTAGCCGTCCTTACGTGTAATTTCTTTTCCCTTACATGTAGTAATCCTTACATGTAGTTTTGCATTGTTGAGTCCAACCTTACATGTTGTTGGAATATCCGGCTGAAATATGCGCTCATGCTTAATATACGCATTAACGCCCCTGACATAAACGTGCTTCCATCGCGTGAAATGGCCAGCCCATGCACCAATTCATTCCACACCCTTACGCCACCCACGAGTCTGCATCAACACCTACATTCTTTCATTACCATGTTGGAATATCGCTACCTAAAACACCACCCAAGGTGCATATAAACCCACGATGCGCTGCCCCAAGACTATCCCTCTCTCCATCCACCATCGACACAATCTCCTCAACCACACAACAAACCACACCCACCCACCAAACATGAAATACACCACCCCCCTCCTCCTCTTCATCGCGGCCCTCACCACCGCCAACCCCGTCACCTCCCCCTCCGCCAACGCCATCGCCTCAGCCAACCCGCTCGTCGCCCGTGACCCCATCTGCGACAAGTGCAACAAGGAGTTCGAGGACTGCCAGAAGGTACAACTCCCCCTTTCCCCATCTCTTCTAGCGTGATTTGAACTAACGTGTTGGGTGGAAAAAGACTTGGGTCTGTTGGATCAACCCGAGGATGTGTATCATTACTTGCCACAACGACGTTTGTCGTAATGACGCCGCGTGCAGGGAGCACTGTGGGTGGAAGTGCCCTTAGGCTGGGGGTTGTGAGTGTGAGAGGGTACTGGAGATTGGAATGAAGGTGATTTTGCTGGAGGAGGAATGAGACTAAGGCTGGGTGGCAATGATGGAGTTTGAGGTAGCGGGTTGTGATGTTGTTGTGATACGTACTCATCCTTACATACACCGTCGCTTGCAACACCAACTGGATGAATACAGAATACGTGCTCATCCTTACTACAGTTGTCAACGCCCCTGACATAAATTCGCGTAAAAAGGCTCACTACCCGTGCACCAGTCTCACACCCTTATCCCACTGATCGTATCAAGCCTCCCATTCTTTCACTACCAACATTCGTACATCGCCACGCAGATCAGTAACCCAGGTGATCCATGGAGGTGATCCACCCCCTTCGACTGCCTAACTTGACCCTGCAGCCCTGCGTATATATAACCCACAATCCACTGCTCCAAGAAACTCCCTCTCCTCATCCACCCTCAACCCAATCCCCCCAACAACACACTCACCCCCCACCCACCTCACCAACAATGCACTTCACAACCCCCCTCATCCTCGCCCTCGCGGCCCTCACAACAGCCACCCCCATCACCAACCCCGACGCCAGCCCCATCGCCGCCCCCATCGCCGCCCCCCAAGAGACCTTACCGCCCGTCCAAGTCCCCACTTGCGACCAGTGCAAGGACAACTTCGAGCACTGCCTTCGTGTAAGTATCGATTGCCCTTTTTCCAAAATCTACCCGGAAGTGTTGGGCTAATACGAGTGATGATGATAATAGTCTTGGCCCTGCTGGTTCAACCCAGCTACCTGCGATACTACTTGCCGCTCTGATACTTGCAAGGCGAGTAACTACTTCTGTAGGGATAACTGTGGGTGGAAGTGTCCGTAGGCTGGGTTTTGAGTCTGAGAGTCCAGCTGGGAAGAGGTTATCCTTGAGGTGGATTCGACAAAGGTCCAGTCTTCGATGGTGGTCCGTGATGGGCGATGTATGGCGACGGAGTGACCTTCATGATATGGGTATGGTTCAGATCTTGGTCTTGATAAAAGGATAGCTGTTACAGCTGGTAGACATGTATCGAGGAATAAAACCAGGTCTTGTCAGTGAAATGAAGCCATCGAGTGATATTCTGTGCCAAACCCGATAACAAAACTCTACCCTATACACCGCCCGGCTTGTACCTGTCGCACTGCCCAGAGTCAAACGTATCCGCAAAATCACTCATGAACATCAAGCTCGAACCCAGGAAACATCGAAGCAAAAACAGTCTCAGTCGTCGCATGTACCCAACGCAGATCACCCCAGCCAAGCCCAAGCCTCAAGACCGAATACGAAAATTGACCTGCAGCGCCAAGAAAGCTAGGCTTCTCGCGGCCCGCAGATGATCACCAGCTAAACCGCATACCCCCATGGGTGTTGTCTCCGTCCGCCTTGGATGCGCTTGAAAGTTGTCCACGCCCGTCTTGGCTGCTATATGAATTGGCGGGTTGCGCTCCTCGTGGGCGGGTGATGTAGTGTCCAAGACTTGTCTACTTGTCTAGTTGTATAAGTAGAGTTTTGGTGCATTGGACCCGCTGATGATGTCAATTGGGAGGGTGGAGGAGTGGTATTTAGGGTGCTTGGTTTCCGGAGTTGACGTGTTCATAGTTGTTCACTTTGTTCGGTTGGAATCATCATGAAGCTCACTCTTGCGACTCTCTCCACGCTTCTGGTGACTGCTACGACAGCATCGCCTCTTGCTCTTCAACCGCGTCAACAATGCAGTACATCCTGGAGCTACCCATATACCGGCAGCGTAGCTCCCAGTAACTACAAGGCCTTTAACCTCGGTAGCTGCACTGCGCAACTCACCTTCAACAAAGACCGATACGTAGGAGTGCAGTGGGCATTCGAAGCCACGTACGCGGACGGCAGTCGTGCCGAACTGAAGCCCTTTCGCAACTTCGACAGCTTCGGCGTCAGCGATACCTTCTACCCCTACCTTGGCAACAACTTCCTCACCAAGTACCCTGGAAACTCGGCGTTCACAGCTGTGCACGAATTCAGCAGCGTTTGCAAGAACGGGCAGGCGCCTGTCTCATGGCGGTTCTACACCACTTCAGGAACGTCGAATGGATGCTACACAACGGGGCAGATACGCGCTGTCGGTGGTGTTTCGCGTCCGGCCAAGGTTGCAGGAGTATCTCTGCGAAGGAGCAATGATGCCGGAGACTTCCAGGTCAGTTGGTCGCCGGTTTCCAGCGCGACTGCGTATTCCGTCATTGTGGAGTATCCGACTGGTACGGATGAAGTTGGCAATCCCTACACGAACGTGAGGGGTGCACGCGTACAGGTGAGTTCGTCCAGATGTCACTCGTCTTCGAAGGGCGATGCTAATAGTCATGCCAGGGAACCTCGACTCAGATTGCGACTACCACGCGTAGACAGGACGTAGCGAGGAAGGCGATTGTTCATGCTGTCAACTCTCAGGGCGTGTGGTCGTTCACGAGCGATGTGCAGCCAGTGGTAGCAAACTGGTAGACACTATTGTGAGATGTAATGTCAGACTTGAGACAGATGTGAATAGGAGCCACAGGAAGTCAGCGAGTCTTGCGTCGCAATGTATCTCGTCTCGTCCAGGAATCGCGTGCGGAAAACATTGCCCGATCTGTCGACCAGATCCCTGCTTCAGCCACGAACAGTTACAAGACTGTTATCGCGTTTGATATGATTCGTGATTAAAAAAGACGATAGAATGTCACAGTACATCAGCAAGACAACAAAGTGCGGTGAATCCAATCAAAGTGTGTTGACACGTGAAACGGCGGCCGACCGCACTGCCACATGGCAAGCGCGCCCGCTCCGGAAGAGCCGAGGCCAAAGCGCCAGGGTCGCGCGACAACGAATGCCATCTCCACACGGCTCCGCATTGTCATCGCATCATGCACGCCGTCCGCCATCCATTGCGCCGCTGTACTTTACCTTGTCTTTTGCTCCTGCCTGGCTGAATACCTTGTGCCTGTTCTTGAGGCACTCTCACGCACCGCCACACCAATCAATGCGCCGCTCCCCGTTTATGGGGGCGCGATATCCACGCTCGTAATGTCGGACTCGGTTGGTAGGTTTATCTGGGGTGAGATGGGATGGAAGGAACTTTTGCTGACAATAAGGAATGTAGATCGAGTCTTTAGCCATGCGCTCAACACCGTCAACAAGATACGGACGGGGTCGCAGAAACCGCCGTCTGCGACCAGGTTACGCTTGTATGGACTATATAAGCAGGCCATGGGTACGTTGCCTCGAGGAAAATGATGCGGAAGGGGACTGTGCTACGACCAGAGCTGACCAAAACAGAGGGCGATGTCGACGGTATAATGGAATGTCCAAGAGGCAATGATGACCAGTCGCAACGAGCACGGGAGAAATGGTATGTCATTTGGCGCATAGCACCATTCAAGTCCCCATCATGGAATGCATACATGAACAGGACCTAACATTCCCAGGGACGCTTGGAAACAGCAAAACGGCCTCTCCCGCACCGAAGCCAAACGCCGCTACATCACCACCCTCATCGACACCATGCACAAGTACGCCTCCCCGTCACCCGACTCCCGAGAACTAGTCGCCGAACTAGAATTCGTCTGGGACCAAGTCAAATCCAACGTGCCGTCCTCCTCCTCCTCCTCGCCGCTACGTACCTCCGACCACATAACCCCCGGCTACTCCCAGCACGAACTCGGCCAAAGCGGCCGCGCAGCCATGAACAGCAGCAACGACATGGACCGCCCTCGAAACGAGTCCGAAGACCTCGAACGCCGCGCCGTGCCCCTCCGCGTAAAATCGCCAATGTCGCAATCCGAAGAAGACCTCGAGGAAGAAGAAGCGGAAATCGAGCGTGAAGGCGAGGTCTTCGTCGACGCCCCAGACTCGCAATATAACCCCACATCCTACCCCGACGACGACGACAACGCCCCCGAACTCGAAGACGCAGGCGTACAAACCGATTTGCAACAGTTAATCCGCGCAGAACCCATACCTATCCAGACGCCCACTCCCGCGCCACGGAATCGCGGCATGGGTGTGCTGGGCAAACCAATTCAAATGCCCATACCCGGTTTCGGCAGCACACCCGCCGCCGCCGCTGGAAACGGTGCCGGCGCGGCGAAAGACAGCTCCCCGAAAGAATCAGTCGCAGACCAGAAATGGAGAAAGCGCGTTGAGCAATCGCTCATGAAGATGACGGCGGAAGTCGCAGCCCTGCGCGAACAATTAGAAGCAAGAAGACTTTTTGCACATTCAGTACATTACCAGCTCTTTCGGGGCGTGTGGAGATGGGTGTGGGCGTGCTTCAAGCATGTTGCTGTTGATGTGTTTATACTGGGTATAGTGTTGTTGTGGATGCGGCGGAAGAAGGATAAGAGGCTGGAAGGGGCGATACGGGTGTTACTTGGGGATGCGGTGGCGCAGATGCAGAGGGGTGGGGGGATGGTTTTTGGGAGGGTTAGGTTACCGCTTTTAGGGGGAGGGAGGAAAGGGGGGACGGGGACGGGGACGGGGACGTGAATTTAAGATGTTATGATCTCAGATGTTGTGGTGTCTGTGGATTCGTGAAGTGTGATCGATGAAAACTGCTGACGGCTCAGAAACTGACATGCACTTTGCAGCCTTGCGAACCGAGACCGAGACTCGCTCTACCGTGTTTAATCCATCTCCCCCATCCTCTCCTTCTCGATCCCACCTTCCCAGTTCCCGATCATCTCAGGGAAACACTGCTTCAAAAGCACCTCTCCATACCCCTCAAACGCCGCCTCGACGTCCTTCAAAACCTCCACAACACTCCCCTCCCCCTTCATCACACCAACAGACCCTAGTTTCATGCCATCGACCTGTGGCACGCGCGGCACAGCAACGATAGCAAGGTTACTAATCGTACCAACGAACATGATAAGCAGCATAGCAATAGCTGCGTTGTCTGAGAGCTGGGTGTAGAGCAGGGCCTGGCTCAGGAAGGCACCGGCGATGAGGATAACGGGTGAGATACAAGGATTTGAGGCGTTGGTGGATGTGTCGTCATGTGTGGTCACGCCTTCGGTGTTGGTGGATGCAGTCGAGGAGGGCTGGATGATGTAGATGTGGCTGGGTGGGGAGTCAGTGTCGCGCATGAGTGCGTATGCGCCGTTCTGATTATTCCTGGTAAAGGAAGCGTTCTTCTGGGCAGCCCAGACGGGTAGGCTGGCCGTAGCTTCGATGAGCAAGATTGATATGCTGAGTAGCAGGAGGGGTGAGAGGTCGCCGTAGTAGAACCAGAATGCGCCGGCAAGACAGAATTGGAGGATTGCGGTCATTAAGCTACCGCTCTGGAGTAGGTTTCTGAGAGAAGTCGAGGCGGAGGAAATGCCAGTGGGTTGGAGAACCTCGATGACGACCTCGCTATCATCATCAAACTTCCCATCGATGCTGGGCGGTACAGAGCGAAACTCCAGGTCGCGGAGCAACCTCGCAATAGCAAACTCCTTGTTCGACCGTCTCTTCCCCGTGCTCATGTCCAGAACCTTCACATCGCACTCCGGTTTGGGCATCAAACCACCACTGCCGGACGTGACTGACGACAAGAATGACAAGCTATAAGCTAGCCACCCGAAACCGAAACATGGAGACTCTGTCTTGGAAATCTCAGTCGTGATAGCGAATGCTTTCTGAATGAGCTCAGGACCGAGTAGCATGAGCACGATCGCCAGAGGTGGTATACGTCCGGAGTCGCCGTCGCGGTGCTCGGACCCGGGGCCAGTGGGACTGAGGTAGTAGTTTGCGACGTAGAGACCGATATATGCGATCAGAATGGGGAACGACATCTTGATGTTGGAGGTGCGCGGGTTGATACTGGGAAGGGCTCTGATGGATGGGGAAGTGGCGGTGCACTTTTCGAGATCGATGTTTGCCATGATTTCCTTCGCGGCTTCCGGGATTCGCGAATGGTTTTGTGCCGAGTGTAATCCTGGGGCCCTTGGTGAGGAAAGATCGATGGTTGGTGCGGAAAGTTGGGTTGTGCGCTCGGTCGGGGATTATCTGTTGTTCGGAGAACGACGGTGAATTGGTGAGAGTGAAGGCGTTCACCCAATGTCACCCACGACGCTGTGAATATCTCTCCAGAACTATTCAATCTGTCGCTGTAGGTATTCGAGTGAGAAGAGCTTCTGTGTCTTGTTGTGAGATCAACATGATAACCAGGGAATCGCGCGATCCAATCGGGGCAGGTGCGAGGCAGGAGCAAACGACAGAACGCACGTGTGTCAGTAACTGCCGGGCGCGATTGGACGAGGCTCACTGACGCAGCGGACAATTGCAGCAAATGTTTCTGAACGATTTCAGAGTCGCACTGTCACACGTCGGTGCAAGTGTGATTGTGATCTAGCGGCGCGGCCTTATGGACATGCTTGAGTCGCGCGAGTTTAGTGGTCGCTCGCACCAATGGCGGACCCGTGAATGTATCCATCGACACCGTTTCGAAGTATTCGTAGGTAGGCGTGTCTGAAATCTCTGTGGTGAGCTTCGAAAGCTAAAGGCCCCTACTGTGTGACCACCCAAATTTCGCGATCCCACCACCCCAACACGACCAAAGGTCAACATTGCCGTCAAAACCGCTTTCAATGAATTTGAGTGCGCGGATTTTGGCCTGGTGCGTGCTGCCTGGATCAATCTCCTTAACAGATTTACCCGTCCAGATGTTGCTAATCCGGATCACGGTACCTTCCGTTGTGTCTTGGGCTGCTGCTAGAAGTCCGAGTCTTGGGTGTACATCGATGTCCAGTTCCAGCTCGTCTCTGTTCAGGTGGGCAAAAGTGATGACTGGCTGCGACCAATTCTTGAAAGCTTTGTGGTTGAGCTTGCGGCGTTTGTGACTATCGCGATGAGTCGGATACAAGTTCTTGAAATATTCTTCGTTGTAGTGGTGGTTGTCGTAATTGAACGTCTTTCGCGATGAGTTTCGAGATAAACGAGGTGAGCGAATGTCGTATAGGAAAAGCGTGTCGTTGAGCCCCGAGCATATCAACCTAGTCTCGTCGTCGGCACGCTTGAGCTTTGAGATGGGTGCGGGATGTGTCAAGACGTGACTTGAGCCCCCTGACCTTGTGTCGTATAGTCGAATGATTCCGTCTCGACAGCCTAGCGCGACAGTAGTATACGATATCCACTCCAAGGCCAGAAGATCCGATTCAAGTGACTTTACCACAGCTTGAGAGTCCCACGCACCTGCCTGTGAGCGAGTAAATAATAGCATCGAACTCGAGGCCGCAACTGCTAAATGCTCCGTCCAGGTCGCTGCGACACTGTTTGCGAGACCTGGTGATGCCGTGAACGTCATTGGTCTGGCAGCAGCGCCCCAGATAGCTGAACAGTCTTTCGGTGTGAACTTTTGCCCTACGTACTGTGTCACCAAGGGTCAGCGTGAGAGTTTCGGAAGATGCAAAAGTCTTGTAAATTTATTGCAACGGTGTGGGAGTGAGTAAAAAAGCTCGTTCGTTCTGAGTTGTGCTGCATGCCGCTGAGTAATTCAAATCATTCGGTCTATCGAACGCGAAATGGAACATGGCCGTTCATCATCGAGCAGATTACGTGCGTGGGGTTACAAGTTTGTGGAAGACTTACAGGATCATCGCGTCCCGGGTCGCTGAGCCATACTTCTGGCGGTCGATCAGACCCATACGTCGTTACCGCAAGCGCGCCGGTCGCCGGTAGAAAGGACAACGAGGAGACTGTAGATGTCGTTCGCGTTACCTCTTCTCGTGGATACCACGAATAGATACTCTTTAGTGAAGACGACTTGGGTATGGAATAGTAATCTTCTGATGGGACGCTGGGACTCCCGCGATCTGCAGTCTGCCTGTGCACACTGTTCTCACCTTGGACTGTGTATATCGTATGATGTACTGGGTCCTTGGCAAAGAGTCGGAGTCCACATGGAGGTAGCACCTTTTCGGGACGTTGTTCAATACCGGCTGCGCATGCGTCAGGCCAAAGACCATGTATATAGCGTGACCGTCTTTTGAGACCTATTTCCCTATCGATGTTCGTCTGGGCGAAGCTGTTCGGGTTGCGCCTGATGACTCGCTCCTTTTTAAGCTTATTGGAACGCGCGAGTGCGACATTCTGGATGCGCTCTTTTCTTTCTGTCTTCTTGATATTTGCTGAAGAATATTTGAGATTTGATCCTTGGGCTGCGGTTTGGTTTTGGATCCGGAAGTATTTCTTCTTTTCTGCGTCCCAGAAGTAGCCGGGTATTGACTGGCCGTTCATCCTGGGAGTGTGATGGGTCGGAGGCCAGCGTTTGCCTCGAACAGTATGGGGTGAAGGTATGCGTTGCGTGAGGAAGGTTGTGCTGATTGGCGGAGATGTCGACGCGTCTGCGGTTTAGTTCGGAAGAGAAACGCGCGAGTCAGGCACCGCAACGTTCTGATGTTTTCACGACTGCCTTATCGATAAGCCCGCTCGTCCGAGGCATGACGCCACTGCCCCATAACGTTCGCATCACTCGATCAGCATCGAATGCGCCCATATGTGCCGCCATCTTCCCCTCATCGCCCCTCTCTCCTACGCCACTTGATACCCGTAGCAGCTCATGCTTCGAATCTCCACTGCGCTGCAGCCTACTAGGAAAGCGATATCGTCGACGAAATACATCTGCAAGAACCCCTTCCACACTTTTACGCGCCTCAATCAAGTCATGGCGCACCTCGATATCCCGCAGACGGCGAGCAACTCAACCAACGAACTGCACACGCTGCAGTCGCTTCCCAAGTCGAATGTCTTCACATCCAACCTTCCCGCCGATGACGCGTTCCCCAGACCGAAAGACTCGCACGATGCGCCACGACAGATGCTCGGACCGCGCATGGTCAAGGGAGCGCTATACACATATGTTCGACCTGACTCGCAGGGAGAACCAGAGCTGTTAGCGGTCAGTCAGCGAGCAATGCAGGACATTGGCTTGAAGGAAGAGGAGGCCAAGACGGATGAATTCAAGGAAGTCGTCGCTGGAAAGAAGATCTTGACATGGGATGAATCAAACCCAGAGGCTGGTATATACCCTTGGGCACAATGCTATGGAGGCTACCAGTTCGGACAATGGGCAGGCCAACTTGGTGATGGACGCGCCATCTCTTTGTTTGAGTCTACCAACCCAGCGACCGGAACACGATACGAGATCCAGTTGAAGGGCGCTGGACGGACGCCGTACTCCCGCTTCGCTGATGGTCGCGCAGTACTGCGATCTTCTATCCGAGAGTTCGTCGTCTCAGAATACCTCAATGCCATTGGCATCCCCAGTACAAGAGCGCTGGCGCTCACCCTGAATAATGGAAGCAAGGTTATGCGCGAACGCACAGAGCCTGGTGCTATAGTCACGCGATTCGCACAAAGCTGGATCCGCTTCGGCACATTCGACCTGCAACGCATCCGCGGAGACCGAAAGACCCTCCGCACAATCGCAGACTACACAGCCGAGCACGTCTACGGCGGCTGGGACAAGCTCCCCTCGAAGCTCCCCGCCGGCGAAGCCAAAGAAGTCCACTCCCAGACCCACACCGGCATCCTCAAAGAAACCATCGAAGGCGAGAACGAAGGCGAAGAAAACCGCTACGTCCGCCTCTACCGCGCCATCCTCCGCCGCAACGCCGAAACCGTCGCAAAATGGCAAGCCTACGGCTTCATGAACGGCGTGCTAAACACAGATAACACATCCATCCTTGGTCTATCCATCGATTTCGGCCCCTTCGCCTTTCTGGACACCTTCGACCCCACCTACACCCCCAACCACGACGACCACATGCTACGCTACAGCTACCGCAACCAACCCACAATCATCTGGTGGAACCTCGTGCGCCTCGGTGAAGCCCTCGGCGAACTCATGGGCGCGGGCAGCGAAGTCGACGAACCCCAATTCGTCGAAAAAGGCGTAACAGAAGAAGAAGCAGACGGCATAGTCAAATGCGGAGAATCCGCCATCGACCGCGCAGGCGAAGAATACAAAGCCGTTTTCCTCGCTGAGTACCGGCGTCTCATGACGCTTCGTCTCGGACTCAAGACGCAGAAAGACAGTGATTTCGAGGATCTGATGTCGGAGTTGTTGGATACGCTGCAGATGTATGAACTGGATTTCCACCATGCGTTCAGAAGACTGGGGAATGTTAAGCTGAGTGAAGTGGAGACGGAGGATCAGAGGAAAGATGTTGCGGGCAGGTTTTTCCGTAGGAACGACGCGCCGAGGCAGGAGAGCGATGGGAGAGAGCGGATTGGGAAGTGGTTGGAGAAATGGTCGGAGAGGGTGAGGGAGGATTGGGGGGAGGGGATGGATGCGGAGAGGAAGGTTGCTATGAATGCTGTTAACCCTAACGTAAGTTTTCCCTTTATCAGTTCTTCGGTCTATGAGATGTGAGGTGCTAACGAGATGCCAGTTTATCCCCCGCTCCTGGATCCTAGACGAACTCATCGAGCGCGTGGAAAAGAAACACGAACGCGAGATCCTACCTCAGATCATGAAACTTGCGCTTAACCCTTTCCAAGAAAGCTGGGAGTGGAACGCAGAGGAGGAAGAAAGGTTCTGTGGTGATGTACCGAAGTACAAGGGTATGTTGCAGTGTAGCTGTAGTTCTTAGATGATGCTCCTACATACACCTGGCCAGGTGTTGGAGTGTACTAAATGAATTGAAGGCCTAGTCTACACCACCAACAAGATATTCACCAACTTCCAGATTCACGCTTCTGCCCAATGCGCGTGCGTATTCCCAGCCAAAGTTTACGCGCCATCGTCCTCCGCCTTCTAGTGCGTCGTTGCTTCCTGCTCCTCCGGCTCTGA